GCCTCAGCCTTCCAAGTAACTGGAACTACAGGCATGTGCTACCACGCCCGGCTAATTTTTCGATTTATTGTAGAGATGAGGACTCACCAAGTTGCCCAGGCGGGTCTCAAACCCGCGGGCTCAGGCAATCCACTCACCTCAATCTCCCAAAGCACAGGATTACAGGCTGAGCCACTGAGCCCAGCTTGAACTATACTTTTAATGGTCTTATTAAACTGCAATCTATTTGGATAAATGATTTCAGTGATTTTTACATTTTAAAAGATTGATAAAAATTACATTGTGCCCATTTGTAATTATCACTAACAATTAATCACTAACTTAAGTACATGGTATTTAAATATCATTTATATCATACAAGAATTATTTCATTAAGTTATAGGCTTAGAAGGACCTCAAGATTTTTCTAGTTTAAACTTGCTTAAAATTTGAGTATTTCTTCTTCATCCCTCATAGGAAATGTTTACACAGTCTCTGCTTGTTTGTTTTTAAAGGAAAGAGATTTATCTTTTAAGGCAACTTTTTTGTTGTAAGTTGTTTATAAGGTTAGGGAAACATTATGTTTTTTAAAAAAATATGTAACATAACATTAAGATTAGATTATTATACATCTTCTTACTTTTAGCTTTCCTTTTAAAGCCCCATTCCTCCTACCTTTGAATCCCAAAAACAGATTCCTGATACATTTCAAACAGCAATGGAAAATCCTCACTAGAATAGCATTCTCCAAATGTGGCAAATGCGAGTGTCATCTTTTTATTTCTGGGGGAAAATATCAGTAAATCAGTAATAAACTTTACAGTACTCCAAGTGCTGGCTGGCCTCTAAGTCAGTTTGTTGTCCATACCCCATGTCTTCATGCACAGACCTAAAAGTGGGGAAATCTTGTGTTTTAATAGCATGTAGTTCATGGGGTTCCTGGTTCTGTTAATTTTACAGAGGATCACCTGTTACTAACAGAAATCATATACCAATAAGAAACCTAATGTATTTTTTTTCTTTTTAGAAATGATTTTCTCTTGACTGGTGCTTTTTATTTAAACAGCTTCTAAATGTACACTTAGCATAGAATTGTCCATATAACACATGACTATAACATATTTTTATATATATTTCTCAAATCACCTTTTAAGTCTACTTTTCAAAACACTTTAAAAAATAATTTTGTATATCCGTATCCCATATCTGTAATATATATATAATTCACATATAACTAACATATTGTTGATTCAACTTTTGTGTCTTTAGGTAGTATATGGGTTCTCAGCCTAACATGGGTTGATAGAGCTGAACCTTGAGTCTGGTCCAGGGCCTGATGTTGCTTGCCCTTACCCTTTTCTGCAGATACTCCGCCAGCACAAAGCAGTCATCATTCAGAAGTGGGTCCGGGGCTGGCTGGCTCGCATACGCTACAAGAGGAACATGCAGGCCATCATCTACCTTCAGTGCTGCTTCCGGCGGATGATGGCCAAGCGTGAGCTAAAGAAGCTCAAAATTGAGGCCCGCTCTGTGGAGCGCTATAAGAAGCTCCACATTGGCATGGAAAACAAGATCATGCAGCTGCAGCGCAAAGTCGATGAGCAGGTATGTGTTATAAAGAAGTCCCGAGAGTGGAGTATGGCTGAAGAAACCCTCTGGAATTATTTTCAATATTGCTTTTCCTTGACTTTACCCTTCAGTCTTAGCAAAAAGTAATAAGCATGCAAATAATGATGAACTCATAGGTTAGAACACAATGCAAGGACTAAGGCAGGAAATTATTTTTGAGAACATAGTCACATTTGCTAATGCTCCAAACCTTTATCATCAAGAGTCATATTGTACTTTATACTTTGCAAAACTCTATCACCATTATCATTTATTTACAGGTAGTATCACGATCATTTTACAGATGAGTTGTGTAGCATTGAAATGGCAAGAAACAGGAAGATGTTCATGCTTCTGAGGAACTTACAGTCTATTTGCAGAGATAAAAGTTTGATTGCTTAGAGATAGTTAAGTAATATTTTAGCACATGTAAATGATATAAAAGTAATTAAAAATATATAAATGCTAAGAAGAGCAAAGAAAAACAGATCGTAATTAAATGGGATTTATCAGAAAGATTTTCTGAGTGGGAGGGGAAATTTTTGAGTTATTAAACATAAAACTGTAAGAAACATATGATTCTGAGGCCATTTTATCATTTTTATGCAATCACTTAGCTAGAACATGTTTTTTAGTAGCACTTTAACCTATTTTCAATAGCAAGTATAGGTTCTCCTATTTCTGAATTGAGAATCAGGAAATTAAGCATTTACTATGTAACTCACCTTGTGACTATTAGAAAACCATATCTATATAGTTTATCATGTAAAACAATTGAATTAGTTGTAACTGGTTTTTTTCTCTTTGTTACTAAGAGGGTATTGGTTGTGATATTGTAGATGTTATGGCTGGTGTTTTGGTTAGATACTATATCAATGCTGTGATAATTTGGCGTGAATTTGATGAATAAGCATGATATTCTCACTAAATACATTTGATGATGTATATGTTTACTTATTGTTACTTATGTGTTTTTTAAAGAACAAAGACTACAAATACCTCATGGAGAAACTGACCAATCTGGAAGGACTATATAACTCTGAGACTGAGAAACTACGAAGTGACTTAGAACGTCTTCAACTAAGTGAGGAGGAAGCTAAGGTTGCCACTGGGCGGGTTCTTAGTCTGCAGGAAGAAATTGCCAAGCTCCGGAAAGACCTAGAACAAACTCGTTCAGAGAAGAAATCCATTGAGGAACGTGCAGATAGGTACAAACAAGAAACAGAGGAGGTAGGGCTAATGTTCATATCCCATCTACTCCATACACAAATGAAATGTGCTGTCATCTTGACCTGGTCCACGTGCCTCCATGTTGGTTTTAATAGAAATGCAATGCAAATTTCAGTTGGTTTACAATTCATTATTACTATTTCCCAAGCATTGCTCCCACATGATCAATAAGTAGGCTGTAGGTCTTTTACTCTAGTAAGAACAAAGGCAAAGCAGTATTTTAAGAGAATTAATTGTCAAGTACTCACTGTATACTCTTTTTTTTTTTTAAATAACGTTTCAGTCCAGATGGAGTATAGATTCCTTTTCCTTCAGTAGGGTAAATGTGATTAGGAAGCAAATCAAACAATGAGCTGTTACTACCTGATGATAGGGATCCTTGTAAAAACCCACATTAAGACTGTGCTAAGTATATAGAGGAGAAACCCAAATGTTTGCACAGTGATCACAGTTAAGAGCTAATATGCAGATAGAACCCAAGCACCCAAAAATACTTACAGACTGTTCAGCGCTTCATTGCTACAAATTTGTATTAACTTATATCAAAACTTTATTAAGTAAGGAAAACAAAGAGTGATGAGATGTACTGTTGAAATGTTTAGAAAAGAACCTGAACATTAGGCTTACTGGAAAAAAAGTAACTGATTTCCAGAGATTCCAGTGAAACAGTACACACATTTCACTTCATCTTTAAATGAAAATAGAGTTGACTGTGAGCTGTGACTGCTCGCAGGAATCCTGATGTGCTTTTTCTGTACTGACTCCAAATGTTCACAGCAGCACTTGCAATGCAAGCCTCAGGGAGCGCTTAGATGCCATTCAGCTAGGGGAGCATTGCTGGTAAGGCTGCAATCCTTCCATGGACTTCAGGGGCCTAATAAAATACCCCTTCTATATCTCTAGCACGTCTGAAATCTGTATAGAAGCAACAGTGCCACTATGTAATATTGTTTTGTCTTATGTAATGTTGTTTTGACATGGCAAACTTGTTCTCTCAGGATGCAAATATGCACTCAAAGGTATACTTCTGAATGTTAAGGTCTCTTTTCTTCCTTTAAGTCTAGAGTCTAAAGAAGTTTTCCAGATGGCTTTGAATCTGTAAAGTGTTTAAGCTTGGTGGAAAGGCTCTCCTTTCCTCGTGAAAGCTAAGTTCTTGCCTTTCTAGTCTGATAGAATAATATATATAAGCAGATTCAGATTTTTTTCATTTTATTTCATTATCTTCTACTTTTCACAGGAGTGACTGTGGGTGCTGCCATTAGTTCTTTTGATGGAGTGTAGTACAGGAGAAGAATTAAAACATTTCACTGTGACCGCCAGCTTCATGGTCAGGAAATGACATTCTCAGTCAGACTGATGAAAGATCCCAGAAGTTACAGTAGAGCTATGGTTCTTGACCATGAGTGTGTCAAAACTGCTGGAGAGTTCTTACAAAGGAACCTATCCAAGCTCTGAGAGTGTTGGGTAGGCATGTGTATTTTAAGAAAGCCCCACAGGTGATTGGCTGGACATCCGTACCAAAGAGCAGCTTCTCTCAAGAACTCACTGAAAACTCAGGCCTTTTTACTGAAAGTGAACTTTAAGACTATCTCAATGCAGAGAGAAAAGACTGAACCATCAGAAGGGATACCTTCTAGACTGACTTCTGTTGTGGCACAGTTTTGCTATCTAACTTTCCTGGTCTTCAGGGATCCTTAGTCACAAAGAATTCCTTTCCTATCTCCGATCCCCTGACATGAAGAGAGATTTGCTTACCATCTTTCTCTCTATTGTAAAGCTCTCATTCTGAGAGTTCCTTAAACTTATGCTTAGAGAAAGGAGCTCAGATTTCACTCATTGCATGCACACATTTTATTCCAAAGATGAGCTGCACTGTCCTTTCCTGCAAAGTATATAATTTACTTTGCAAAGTATGTAATTTACTTTTGGTTTTGATTTTTATTTTCTGGGAATCCTTATACAGCAAGGAACTAGAAAGTTAAGGGCCAATGCTTTCCTTACAATTGTGGGCTGGGCACGTTGTCTCAGCCTGTAATCCCAACACTTTGGGAGGCCGAGGCAAGAGGCTTGCCTGAGCCCGGGGGTTCGAGACCAGCCTGGACAACTTGGTGAGACCTCATCTCTACAACAAATCACACAAACTAGCCGGGCATGGTGGTATACATCTATAGTTCCAGCTACTTGGAAGGCTGGGGTGGAAGGATCACTTAAGCCCAGCAGGTCAAGACTGTGGTGGCCATGAGCATGTCACTGCATTCCAGCCTGGGTGACAAGAGTGAGACTCCAACTCAAAAAATAAAAATAAAAATTGTGGCAAAATATATGTAACATAAAATTTACAATTTTTACCATTTTCAGGTTGGAAGTTCTGTGGCATTAAGTACATTGACATTGTTGTAAGGGCAATGCTTATTTAAACATGGGATAAAGGGACTAATTAACTTTGCAAAACTCTTAAAAGGAATGAAAGAGAAATTCTTTTTCTCAAGACAGATAGCAGAAAGAATCAGGTCTTCAGTACATTTCCCAAACGAAAACACCCTTATATCCTTCTTAGCCTCCTTAATCTCTCCACTTAAATCATGGGTACATGTAAGCTGTGTGTTAAGGTCTTGAGATAAGAAGGTAATACCAGTGCTTCAAGAGCAAATACCTACCTGGTGCCAGGAATTTCTAAAGGTTTAAGGCACAAAGTAAAACAACTACCACCAAATCCTTGTCCTCCAGGAATTTCTAGTCTATTCTGGAAGACAGAAAATAAATCATTTATAAGGGATATGAAGAGCATGTACAGGGTCTTATAGTAACCAGAGAAAAGATATCTAATTACCTGGTTTCAGGAGGAGGTTTCAGAAAGACTCTCTAGAAGGGGTAACAATTGAGCCCAATTTGAAGGGTGATGGCATAGTAAGGCAAAGACATGAAACACAGAGATGGTGGAAGTAAGGAGTGACTGCTGTGTGATTTTTGCACTTAGTGATTGAGCTTCCTCTGTCCATTGCAGCTGTCTCAGTTTATTGTTTAATTTTATAGCTGGTATCAAATCTGAAGGAAGAAAATACATTGCTAAAGCAGGAAAAGGAAGTCCTTAATCACCGTATCGTGGAGCAGGCTAAAGAGATGACAGGTAAGGCTCATGTAGGCCCAAACTAGTGCATGCCAACCAACCTCACACTAAAATTGTATATGTTACAATGTTATTCTATGAGTCAGAACATTGCTTAGAGCTTAAATTGAAGCTGTCATATCTCAATGTGCAGAGTTTCAAGAAGCAAGAGCGCAAATATTTTGTTTGAATTAGTTGGTTAACTTGTAAATCTGGTTTCTGTATGTACAAATATGAATTCATATTCAATGTCATATGTAGTTTTTAAAAAATTAATTTGTTCTGCATGTATGATTTATCAGTTATGGCTTATGGGATTGCTAAACCAATGGATGTTATTCTCCCAAGATTCATGACTCTTTACCACCAAACCAAAGAAAAAAACACTTAACTTTTTTGAATAGAGAATTAACTAGATGGGGACATTTATTCTGTTTACTGTCCATGGGGTAGATTAGAAAGGTGACAAATTTACAAGGAACCCACATATATAAACATGAGATAAGAAGGTATAGATCTAAACTACAATAATTAGTGGTGGAAATTAAAGCAAAAAATATGGGTTGGAATGAGGCTATATTATAAGAAAATAGTCAACAGATTATTCACTTTTGATGTGGTATTCAAAAAAGACAAAAAATGTTCTAACATTTTAAGATGAGACATTAAAACAAAAATGGTGTTATTAGTAACGAGAATATTAAGAAAAAAGTACTTGTTTATGAGGTGAAGTAATGAGATCAGTTGTTAGTGTTAAGTTTTAGATGTGAACAAGGGCCTCAACATGTAGGTGTTCCAAAAGCAAATCCAGATGAAAGATTAGAGAAAAACTAAGAAATGAGCCTGATGGTACCCACCAAAACTGTGATGGTAAGAGAGTTCTCTCTGCTTTCCCCTACACGGCCCCTTCCCTCATAGCTGAAGGGAATGATGTAGAAGAAAGAGGAAAAAAAAAAACCTGGATTCAGTGAGCATACTAAGAATAAAGTGAAGAAAAAAAGCCAGAAAAAAATTATGAGAGGAAGAGGGCTGCTAGGATGTAGAATGTAATGAAAAGATTCAGAATGGTGAGAATCTTCTAGGAAAATATAAAATAGTATTTGAAATTAAATTCTAAAACAAAGAAATGATAATTTGCCTAAGGAAATTTTGCTGGTAGTACTGAAACAGCTTCTGCAAACTAGTGAGAATAAAAGTAATTTATAGAATGTTTTAGAGAGAAGAAATTATTTCATTTGTTTTTTGCAAATTATTAACGCCCTACTCTAGGGAAGCACTGTGATAGGCACCAGGAAAGCAGTTGTGACAAGACACTTGGCAGTCCTTGCCTCTTGGCATTGACAGAAAAAAATGGTGAAGCAATGGAAGTAAGCAGGGCAGATTAAGATTTAGCCACAAAATGTGAGGGCAAAATGTAGTGTAGAGGTAGGAGGCTTAATATTATAGACATGACTGGTTGGCTAATTGAGTTAAAACATACAGCCAAGATTTGAGGCTTTGTTACTTTGTTTTATCTGTAGTAAGGGGCTAATCTTCAATATCCAGACCATGTCCTAGCCAAAAGCAAGCCACAGCAACAGAGAGGGCAGAGTAGAATGGGTAAATGGAAAAGTCGGTGTATCCCCAGAAACACATGGAGAATAACAGGAAGTACACAACAGAGATGACCAAGCCTGAGCATTTTATTTATTTAGAAATAAGGGAGAAATAGGATAGCTGGGGTGTTCCGAGTGCTGGAAAATTGTAAGATAGGACCATACAACTGAGATAAACTGAGAGAGACTCTGTAGAATAGGGCAGTGAGGTCTACTGAAAAGTCACTATTCCCTTGAGAAATATCTGTGACTTTGAGAGAGTAAACAATTTGGGCAAAAGAATTTTGTGAATAGAATACCACTGCATAAAATATATATATATACTTTAGTTACTAGACTTTTTCAGGAATGTGCTGTAACCAATATATGAGCTAGTAGGACTAAGGCCGTAGTATATGGAAGAACTAAGTAGATGATGATTATTTTTAATAAATTATTTTATTATTTGACCATATTTTTTCTTTTTCTACATTCAATAAGATACTCTTTATAGATCATGGTGCTAAAAGTAAAATCCACTGTAGAGAAAATGGAAGTCAGTGTACATGTTTATACTCTTGCATTCTATGGAGCCATCTTTGGTATGCATACCTCTCTTCTTTATTTCAGAAACTATGGAGAAGAAGTTAGTAGAAGAAACAAAACAACTGGAACTCGATCTTAATGATGAAAGACTGAGATATCAGAACCTTCTGAATGAGTTCAGTCGCCTGGAAGAACGATATGATGATCTGAAGGAAGAGATGACCTTGTTGGTGGTGAGTCAAACACTTCCTTTTTTTTTTTAATGAAAATTTTAAACATACACAAAAGTAAATAGAATACTATAATGAACCTCCATATCTTCCATGTACCTACCATCCAATTCCAAAACAATCAACACATCTGTACCTCCCATTTCATCTCCCTATCCCACCTTGTCCAATAGATTGGATTATTTTAAAGCAAACCCCAAAAATCATATAACTTCATTCACAAGTACTTTAGTTAAGTCAAACAGTTTAAAACCTGGACTATAAGATAGTATAAAGTCAATACAGCTGGACTTTGTTTTATATATTGAATCACTTAATGTAGAATTTGCATATGAAGCAAATATTTATATAATTCAGTATTTCCTCCACTAAGTTTTATTATAATTTCAAAGATTTTTTAAAAAAAGAAAATTCAGATTCTATTTGTAATCAGTTACCATTTCTTTTTTTTTTAATTTAAAGATGTAGAGTACAATTCAGGTTTAGGTGCATAAGTGGTCATTGTACAGGTAAAGTTTGGACCTCCCTTTGGTCTCAACTTCTCCTGGTTTCAGATCAGGTACCCTTATTGATATTAAGTCTCCCCCCACCCCCAGGCAATTTCCCACTACTGCCAAGCCCTTTCTTATAGTATTATGATAAATGTTCAGGGTCTGCCAACTTTATATCTGACAAAGGATCTACAAGGAACTCAAATATGCCAAAAGTAAAAAACAAACAACCCTATTAAAAAGTGACCAAAAGATATGCGTAGACACTTCTCAAAAAAATACATAGGAGCAGCCAACAGATACATGAAAAGTGCTCAGCCTCACTAATCATCAAAGAAATGCAAATTAAAACCACACTGAGATGCCACCTAACTCAGTTAGGATGACTATCATCAATAACTCAAAAAACAACTGATGCTAGAGTGGATGCAGAGTAAAGGGGACGTTTCTACACTATTGGTGGGAGTGTAAACTAGTACAACCTCTGTGAAAACAATGTAGTGATTCCTAAAATATCTAAAAATTGACCTTCCATATGATCCAGCAATCCCCCTTCTGGGAATATGCTCAGAGGAACTGAAATCATTCTATAAAAAAAGATACCCGCACACACATGTTTGTTGCAGCATTATTCACAGTAGCAAATTATCTGTTTCAAGAACTTGTCTGCATTTGCTAGTGTACCTTTTGTACTTATTAGTTCTGGAGGCCCTCCCTGTTCTACTTATTTTACTGTCAGGAAACACAGAGTTCCCTAGCTTTCTTGTTCTCTGTAAGTATCAGCCTTTACCTAATTGTACAAGAAATGCTCTGAAATAATGCTTTCTTATAAAAAGCAAGATAATTCAGTATCTGCAAGGCAGAGTGTTTGTTTCAAATTATGCTTCTACTTGGATCTCTGGATGAAGTTCTTTAAAATGTGACACTTAAAAAGCCAAAATAAGACAAAAGAAATTGTCTCATCACCTTGCAGATGAGAAAACCTTGACTAAAAGAGCATATGAACGAGGAACAGAATCCTAAAAATCTGAGAAACTGAAAAGTCACCAAGGAAGCTGTTGCATTACTGCAGGATCCCAACAACCATAGCAGTAGCAGTTAACATTAATTGAATGCTTGTTATAGACCAGGCAAAGCTCTTTATTGCACACTCTTACTTAATCTTCACATAAGCACTGTAAGATTGAAATTATTATCCCTTTCTTCCCAATGATGAAACTGAGACCTGGAGAAGTTGGGTTAGGGACAAGTAAGTGGCAGAAGTGGGATTCTTATCTTGTTTCAGACCCAGAGCACTTAAATACTGCCCTCTATGCAAAAGTTACATTAAATAGCAAACAGCAATATTGCTTCTATTAATACCTTAAGATATTCATTATTTAATGATAGATATATGTGGGAAAATAAGGATCACTCTCATTTTTAATAAGCTTATTAAAAATCTTTGTCCTGGCGTTTATCTGGACCTGTTTTTCTTAATGGCATAGCCAGTTTATTAAATTAATGCCATCCATACAACTGTGGGCTTGGGCTGAGAACTCTACATAACAGTGCTTGTGCCTGTGTATGTCAACAGACAATAAATCTCAGCACCTTGGACTTCTCCCCTTTAGTGTGCTCCCCATCTTCTGGATGGTTTCAGAAGTTCTGGTGTTGGGTCTTTCCTTCACACTGAAGTATATGTTGGGCTGGGTAGGGAGACTTTCACTGCCTCTGGATGAGTCAGCCCTCTGTAAGTCTGGATATTGGAAGAAAGAGACAAAGATGTTATTTGTGGCTTCCAGCTTTTTTCCTGCAGCTGGGGAAAGGAGTAAAGGAAATTGGACAGACCAGGAAGCTCTCAGAGGCCTTTCTAAAGCTCTCAGGACCTTGTAACCCTGTGAGATTCAGGCAACTGAACTTGCTCATCTCGCCTGACTGGGGCATTCTGAGAGTGAGGGGCACAAACCTAGCCTTTTTATTCCTTTTTCCTCCAAGTTATTCTCCAACCTCTTCTCCTACAGGAGGGGAAGGGGTTATGATTACTTAACTTTTCTCTTCCACATGAGCTTTCTGAACACTAATTTCATAGGTATCACATGTCACAAAAGTGTCACCTGAACTCCCTGAGTTAATAGCCCAGAAAGATCTTCAGAGGATTCCTAGAGCAGCTTTCTTACCTCCCCTGTACCTTCCATCCTTCCCACTGCCTACTCCAGAGTTTCACTTCATGCATAAAAGTGACAGAAATTATAGCCATCTGTGTGAACTCCCTTGCCTTCTGTTTTTTTTTTTTAAACCATTTATGCCTGATAACTGTGCAGTAAAATGATTGTGCATGTAATTAAATATATTTTATGAACTTTGGTAAGTTTTATTTGACTGCAACACTAAAGTCAGTGCTTGGATGCTTCGCCCAGCAGTGCTTCACCCAGCGTGACTGGTCAGTCTAAGCTTTACTCATGGGTGACTCTGCTAATACTCATGGGTGATTTTCAGTTGGGCATTTGGTTTTACGAATGTAAAGCCTATTAAGAATTTATTTCAGACTCAGGTAAATTATTTTAAAAAATAAGTCCTTTGTCCTTGAATATTATAAATACCCAAGAGGTTAGCAAAATTGCTGTCTCTGTTTAATACCAGTTTTTAAAAATGTAATTTTCTTCCACAAAAATGCATGTAAAAGGTTTAGAAATCTTCTTTAGTGTTTTGTGTTATGTGGTATGAAACCAAAATGACATATTATGCATGCTGGTGTGCCTTTTTCTTGGAAGAGGTGACTCTTTTGTAAGGATTTGGTCACAACAACATGGATCAGATTATTTGGGCATCAGTACGACAAGTCAGTGATTGGGGACTAGAACAAAGGCAAGGTGGACACTGTCTTAACTATGCCTTGTTTGATTATGTTGTGTTGATTATTCCTGGTTATTTGCTTTTCAGAATGTACCTAAGCCTGGACACAAGAGAACAGACTCCACCCACAGCAGCAATGAGTCTGAATATATCTTTAGCTCTGAAATTGCAGAAATGGAAGATATTCCATCAAGGACAGAGGTACATTTTAGACATCTGTCAGTCAAAGTAGGATGTGACCATGCTATTGTCAACGGGGAATACTTCCATTGCCCATAAACATAGCATTTGTTTGATTTATTCATTCTTTATAAATGACTTGTAGATACATACTAGTGTCCATATTTATGTACACATAAGAGTTGTGTACATAAATATTTACTGCTTATATTTTTGTTGACACACATTTTAACTTCAATGAAATCTTGATGGTGATATTTTTATTTGAGATTTCCTTTTACACCTTAGCATATTCTGTGTACAGAAAAGATAGCCTATTAATAATTTATTTCAGACTCAAGTAAATTATTTTAAAAAATAAGTCCACGCCGGGCTCGGTGGCTCAGCCTGTAATCCCGCGCCTTTGGGAGGCTGAGGTGAGTAGATTGCCTGAGCCCGCAGGTTCAAAATCCGCCTGGGCAACTTGGTGAGACCTCATCTCTACAATAAATAAATAAAAAAAATTAGCCAGGCATGGTAGTGTGTGCCTGTAGTTCCAGCTACTTGGAAGGCTGAGGTGGAAGGATCGCCGGAGCCCAGCAGGTCGAGGCTGTGGTGACCGGGAGCGGCCACTGCACTCCAGTCTGGGCGACAGAGTGAGACACCAACTCACTCAAAAAAAAAAAAAAAAAAAAAAGTCCTTTGTCCTTGAATATTATAAATACCTAAGATGTTAGCAAAATTGCTGCCTCTGTTTAGTGCCAGTTTTTAAAAATGTAATTTTCTTCCACAAAAATGCATGGAAAATGGTTTAGAAATCTTCTTTAGTGTTTTGTGTTATGTGATATGAAACCAAAATGACATATTACTGTAGCTCAAAAAGCACAGTGTGACTTTAAGTTTGATTATTCCCAACCAATTTTCAGATCTTATTTTTTCAATATGATATAGTTTCAGTAATGGGTAATTCAGACACAACTCTTCTATTTTTATATTATGTTCTTTGAAAATGGCCAAGTCAGAAATAGAATGCTTCTGGCAGAATAGCTAGAGAAATAGAATGATTCTTTCCTTTCTTGACTTAGTTCTACTTAAGAATGAGAGTTTCTGCCATCTCATTCTCTTAATTTTGAAGAAAAATATTATATGGTTGGAATGTCATATAGTTAGAATCATATATACAAGAAGGTTAAGTAATCACTTCAAGTTAACAGCTTGTAAGTGGCAAAGCCAGTATTCTTTTTTTTTATTTTAAAATTGTGGGGTGCAATTCAGGGTTAGATATACAAATATTCATTGTGCAGGTACCCTTGTGGATGAGGTATGCCCCCCCTTCCCCAGGCAGATTTCGACTACTGTCAATCCACCTCCCCGCCCCCGCTCCCCCTGCAGTTTCCCGCTACTGTCAATCCTTTTCTTATTCATGGAACCAACCGTGCTGCCCATCAAAAGAGGACTGGGTAAAAAAAATGTGATACATATACACAATAGAATATTACGCAGTCATAAAAAAGAACAAAATCATGAACTTTGCAGCAACCTGGATGGACTTAGAGTCTATAATATTGACTGATCTTTCACAGAAACAAAGAACTGAGCATGACATGTTCTCATTCATAAGTGGACCCTGAACAACTACTGTAATA